CCCATCACAAAATATTTGTGAAAAAGTCATATTAAAACCAAAAAAAATATCCCTCTCTCCATTCTCCTTACCTGCTGGTGAATATTTCTCATGGTAGATGGTGTAAGCTCTTTCATGAGCGGCAGCGAGGGCCTGGGCTCGGTACTGGGGGTCATCGTAAGGCAGGCTTTGAAGGACCTCTGGCAGGTCGCTGAAGGTGAGCCACACATCCACCAGGTACCCAAACACACGGAAGCTGAACTCCGCGTATTCCCCAAAAAGGTCAGCAAAAGCATTGGCTTTCCTGCCCTTGGCCTGGGCGGCCACGGCGCTAGGAACGTGGTGGTGGTGTAGAACAACCACCGGCTTGAGGCCTGCAGCAACCAGGGTCTTGAGCAGCTCCTGGTTGCACTGCACTTGGACTTCATCTGGCTTCCTGGCATCCCCCTCAGGAAGGATGCGTGCCCACGGCAGGAAGACTTTGTAATGTGTCACCCCTGCCTTCCGAAGGTGGGAGAAGTACCTGGGAAGCTCAGAAGCCACAAGGTTACCTTGACACAGGTAATCATGGGCTTCAGCTGCAGCAGGGCCTTGATGTTCCTTGGGTAGGACTTGGTTCTGCAGATGCCATCCATTTACTAACTCACTGGGTAGAGGTCCAGCGATGGCAATAAAATTCTGAGCAAATTCCTCATCTATCCCAAGGCTGGGAGAGACTAACAGAAAGAAGATGACTGCCTTACAAGCCAGCTTCATGTCTGGGCCTGCTTCAGAAACAGGTATTCCACTCTACTTATATTACAGTAGAAGTAATATTTAACTGAAATTATCTTATTACACAGATAAATGTTCCCAGAACTGGATGACACTACAGTGATAACAAGTCAAGACAAGTTGATATAAAAATCAGCCAAACAAATAGCTGAAGGTCAACAATTAGTTGAAGAAAGTTCAACATCTTCTGAGACGCCCAGGTTCCCCTTTATGCTTGAACGTCAACTGACATTTGCTGATGCTGCCTCCATTTCAGAAGAAGATAAAATAAATAGACAGTATTTTTCACCTACTCTTGGCCTTTTTTTGGTTTAAGAGGAATCCCAGCACAGCTCCGGATGCAGGAAATAGCGAGAGCAGAGTTATCTGCACTGCTGGGGCTGAGGGCCACCACGGCTCAGGGTGGTCAGGCCAGCAAGGGGCATGTTTGTGCTAGAATTCCCAGGTGCATAAAGGAAATCTGAGACGTGGCATCTCACCCACATGGAAAAGTGGTTGTTACATGAATTCAAGCAGCAGCAGCAAGTGCACCCTCATGCCCAATAATATTGAGAAATTTGAACAATATCATTTTTTTGCTTTCTAAAGTAGTCCTTCCTTCAGCCTTGAGAACACATGCTCTCTCAGCAGGGTGGACACACAGATCACCCACCTGAACTCCTGCAGGGAAGAGACAGCTCGCTTTTCTACATTCAAATACAGCACAAGTGAAGAGCTGAGAACATCTTCCTGAATCTGCTGCCTGCACTGCAAATTAACTAAACACAAAATTCTACGTAACTATATTGAAAAGCCAGTTCCGCCTCCCAGTTTATTTCCTTTAATAACCAGTTTTTTTGTCTAAAGCATACTTGGAATCATCTGAGCAACTTACTGCTCTGTCAAGAAATATTATCTTTAATTTACAGTAGAAAACATCTCCCAACTTCTGCTGTTACTCAGATAGCCAATCTTATACCTTGTACTCTGGGATTTCCCCCCACCTCCCACCCTGATGTTTGAATAACAAGTTCAAATAGGAACTTTACAGCACCATCTGCTGCTTATTTTTCAGTAGAGCAGCGTCAAATCAGAAAGAGAACACCTTTCCTACCCCATGAAGCATATAGAACTGGGGAAGGAGAAGCAGAAAAACTAATTAACTTTCTCCACATGAAATATCTTTATCATCAAACAAAGATCGGGGGGAGGGAGAAGGCAGGGAAACACAGAATGAAGTACAAATACCTTCCTGTCCTAATTTTGAAAGTAAATTATGTTCATTAAAGAATAAAATGCAACTTGTAGGTAGGTGGCAATTCTTAATGAAATGTAGCATTTGCCAGATGCAAGTTTACAAAAGAAATTAGCAGAGAGGTCACTGCAGCTAAAGTTCATGCCCAGTGACAGGGTAGTGCTGTTGGTGAAAAATATTTATGATTCCTTCTATTCTATAAATATAACTATTATCTTTAACTACATGCTTCATTAGACGGAGGCGTGTCTTTCGAAGGCTGAGGAGACTAACAGGAAAAAGATGACTGTCTTACAAACCAGCTCCATCTCTGGACCTGCTTCAGAAACAGTTATTTCATATTACTTATATTTAAAATATATAGCATTTGTATCTTTCATGTTATTACAAATGTTTCTTAGGTGCTGGTATCAGGCTGACATGACAAACAATCACGTATTTTTAATTCTTAAGAGATTATTTAATAATCCCATAGAATACAGCAAATAATTGAGAACAAGAGATATTTAAGTAAAACATTTCCATAGAAAAATCTACAAACAAGTTTGCAAATATAGTCTTAAAAATCCCTCACAAATGATGGCAGTTTTCAACTCACAAGTCAAGGCATTCATCAAGATGGGGCTTTCTGACCTCCTGACTTTAAGCTTTGCTTTGGGCTTGGCTATTTTCAATGATCTATTTTACATATGCAACAGGAGCATACACATCTTTAGTACATCTAAAAAGAAAGAGAAGCAATCAGAGTTTCTCATTACCCATTACTGGAAGTTAAAAAAGCTTCTTAAAAAACAGCATCTCTCATGCAGGAAATTTAATCTTTCTTAAGATGTTTTTTCAGCCCCGAAACACAGGCATAGAAAATAGCAATCCCACATACGAGTGACAACAAATCCACCCCCAGAGATCTCCAGACATTTAATGATCTTTTATTTATGTTAATAAGAAAAGTAGTAAAACCCTATAGCATAAAAAGTCTACTAAATACAATAGAAGAACAATGCAAAATTCCTCTCATTTAAAACAGAAGCATCTACATAGCTTGAGGCTGCAAAGAGCTATTGAATGTTTCTCCTCTGCATCTGGATGATGGCAGTGAAACCCAAAATTAATAACAAACCTAATATATAAGTGTGTAATTTCTTTAAAAGCTTTCCAGGTATGCTCAGTGTAAATGAGCAATCATATATTACTAACCACACATTGGCACGTTCCACAGTAAAGCATTCACATGGATTTAAGATGCAGCTACAGAGCAACCATTGCAAGAACGCAGAAGAGAATGCATTTTCTGAGTCAGCTCTACAATCCAGTCCACATCCCTTAGTCTTCCAGCAGATAGTTTGGGTTGACCACCAGATATGGATCTTCATCAAAAGTCTCCGCTTCCCTGGATCCTCTCAGTCCTGACTGGGACAGTTCTATCAGAATGTGGTCCTGCAACAGACAAAAATTCGTATTCAAACAAGAATGATAAAGGTTTGTTTGCACTTTTTGAAAGGCATCTCCTTTTTACTCTGGTAGCACCCCTTGATGAGTTATTTAACCCTTCTAATTGCAAACTCCCTCTTTAACAGGTTTCTAATCGTAACAATTATGGTCAGTGGAAATCTCTTATATATTGCATGCTTTCTGGGAAGGCTTCAATCTAGTGGTTTTATACCTTTAAAAATGGGAAGTATTTTATATTTTCATGCTTCTTCCTCCAAAACACCCTAGTGCTCCCATGAATTAAGCTGTCTATGGAATAAAGCATTGTTTGCATTTCTGTATCCTAATGTATAACCAACACTACAGAGCTACAGAACAATATCACTTACACTTCTAGAGGGACATAATATGGCACTTTGAACTTCTACTTATGCAGATCTCTAACGTACTTGAGTGTTTTCTCTATAATAATTTTTAATAGATATTAAACAAAGGCATTTATACTGCATCATTCAATGATATGGAAGCACACAACACATTTCCCAAATTAGCAACATATTCTATTAAAAATGAATAATTGCACTATAAAAGTTAAAACCCTTTTTAACTATTCACACATCTCTATACATACGTAATGCGTAAGTCGGTGAATGACTCTCTCTATGATCTTCTTTTTATTTATTAGTTCTTCTTCAGACTCTATTTCAGATTCAATTTCCTTTAGATACCAATTAATAAGTTCACTCTTCTTTAATGATGAATCGTCCTCTTCTGCAAAGAAAACAATTTGCATAAACAGCAGCAGTAAGATACCATTCAAACTGTAAGAGAAAAGGATTTCCCTGTGAACACTTACAATGTTAAAGAGAGAAGTGTGCAATAGCCCATCAGACCTTCTTCTGGTTTTTTTATCAGCATGTTTTGTACAGGAGGCTGTTGTATCATTGTTTTATCAGAGATATTTAGACTGAGAATTGAGGCTTTCAGTTCTATTGCATCCATGTGGCTTACAACTGAAAATGAGCAGCCTAGCAACTGCCCTCAGCTTCAAGAAAAAGTAGCTTTAAGGAGTTGTAGAACTTTCCTCTAAGTAAGGGCAAAAGAAAATCTGTCACCCAAAACTGAAGAGGCCATCCTTCTACAAGTACTCAGTATTCTGAACATTTATTGTAGTTTCTGCACTCATGCAAAGACTTTGTAGCATGGTTACATGCTATCAGACATCTGCTGCATTTGGTCACAGGAAGAGCCTCATTGCAACTGAAATATTTCCTCTCCGCAAGAGAGAATGCAGCCATTGGGCACATATTGCTTAAGTATGTGCTTTAGGCTGTGGTTGCTGGCATGCATTAAAGCTCTTGCTACAGTTTTCATTGCTGCTAATTATTCTACCAGGCTAAACCAGCATATTCGACAAATCCTTTCCTGGATCTGCTCTACTGACATGTTCCTTCATTTACCGGGTTTTGACAAATGACTAAAATACCAGAGCTAGAAAGCCCAAGAAGCCATTTTCCTCCCATCAGATGTAGTATAGCTATATGTGTATGGGGTCACACCTGACCTAACAAGCCTAGTGTTTCAGCAGGAGTGAAAATCACAAGTGGAACAGCCTAAGATGGGGTAAGAGTTGCTCCCTGAACCGATGCAGCCACCTGGGCTAAGCCCCAGCGCAGCGAGTTTGTGAACCTCTGCAGAGGTTGCTCTGTTAACATGTTTAAAGTACGTCAGGGTGCTCAGAAGCAAAGATTCTACTCACACAGTAATGTTTAGCAAATTACACTGAAAAATGCACAGGAGGAAGTAGCAACCATTGCTCAAGAATTTGTGATCACAACCTTCTGTCCTAACTTTTTAATACATGACGTGCTCAAGCCCTTTCTCTCCGAAGTGTCTGGAAGATACAGCTGTCTCCACAGCTCAAGAACTCCCTTCTGAGCTTCAGATGGATTTGTTTTAGTAAAGAGTCAACGCAACACAACTCAGGGTTCAGATGGATTTGTTTTAGTAAAGAGTCAATGCACACATGGCAACACAACTCAGGATCTACCATCTTTTCAGTAAACAAATTCTTACCTTCTTCTGCCTTCCTGAGGTGCAGCACCAGGAGATTAGAAATTCGCCGATACTCAGAGAAGCCCAGTCTAAGAGAAGCTTTGGGAGCAGCATCCTTGTTCGTGTCCTCAGAATGGCCATTGATCCCATTCACAAGACCATTGACTCCAGCTGGAGCTTCTGCCTCACCTGTTTGGACACATGTCCAGGTTTAAATCTGCAACACCTTTTAACTGTTCAATACTGAAAAGTTTTGCATTGA